CATAAATATCCATAAAATATCATAAATATATCATATTTATTATAGATATATCATAAATATATCATATATATATCATAAATTTATCATATATATCATAAATATATAATATATATCTTAAATTTATCATATGTATCATAAATATATCATATATATCATTAATATATCACATATATCTTAAATATATCATAAATATATCATATATATATCATATATATATATCATAAATATCCAACAGAAACCACGTTTGTTTGATACTGAACGTGGCTTGTAAGTGAGGTATCACAGATAAAAGCTACAAACAACTGCAAACGATTTATGAAAAATATTCAACTAAGGAAGGACTCAAAATTCTTGTATTTCCGTGCAATCAATTTGCTCATCAGGTTGGCTGGCTGGCTGGTTGTTTGGTTGGTTGGTTGGTTGTTGACTGGCTGGCTGGCTGATTGGTTGGTTGGTTGGTTGGTTGATTACCGAATGGTTGGTTAAATAGTTGATTGGTGCTTTGTTAACTGGTTGGTTGACAAATTGACTGATGTATAAAATCAAAATTTTTTTTTCGTCTACTTTCAATTAAGCGATTTTATTTCAATCATCGTTTTCTTCTTGGTCGCCATCATCATCATAACTATGATCAACTTCTTCATCATCATCATCTTCTTCTTCATCATCTTCTTTTTCTTCATCATCTTCTTCTTCATCATTCTCACCAGGAGCCCTGGCCAGAGAGTGAAATAAAAAAATTCCTCCACGATAAATATCACGTAACTTTTGACGTGTTCTCCAAGGTTATTATTATTATTATTAGTAGTAGTTGTTGTAGCAGTAGCAGCAGCAGCAGCAGCACTAGTAGTAAAAGAAGTAGTAGTAGTAGTAGTAATTACAAATTATTATGAATAATCACGTATGAGTTACAAATGACTACGAATAATTGCAAATAATTACGAATAATTATAATTAATTACAAATAATTACGTATAATTACAAATAATTATAATTAATTACGAATAATTACAATTAATTACAACAATTAATCTACTCGTAACGATAACAACGATAGATAGAGGTGAATGGTGAAAAAGCCCACCCCTTGTTCAAATACCTGAAAATGACTCTGCCAGACTCAGAAGATGGGTGATGATATTACTATTATTATTATAATTATTAATTATTATTATTATTAATTATTTATTATTTATAATTTGCTTTGTGGCTTCCAATTTATCTCATTTTAACTAAAAAAAATAAATTTGTCAGAAATATAAAATGGAACTTTACGAAATTCCTTATTGATAAGCACGGTCATCCTTTTCGACGCTACGCTCCTAAAGTTAACCCAAAGGTTATAATTATTTGTAATAATTATGTTTGCTATTATAAATTATAATTTAGTGTTATCGTTATGGTTATTTTAAGTCTTCTTCTTTCTTCTCTCTCGTGCCTTATTTTTTCATGGCAAAGGGGATGAAATATAACGCTACTGTCTAAGGCGTTCTTCCAATGTTTATAGTATTGGAGTTTTTGAATGAAATTTTTATAATAATAATAACAATGTTGATTTATTATTATTGATATTATTTGTTATTATTATTATTAACCGTTTTCTTTTTATTCATATTACTTGAATTTTTTAATTTAATTTTATTTTGTTATTTCAGGAAATTGAGTCCGACTTAGTGAAACTTTTCATGAGTCCTTAAATATTTTAATATTTTATTTCTCTCTCTCTCTCTCTCTCTCTCTCTTTCTCTCTCTCTTTCTCTCTCTCTTTTCATCGACAGCATCATCATCATCATGCATAAAAGCGCATCAAAGACATTTTTATTGCAGTGGATTTATGACGGCCAAACCCCAAATCTCACCTTCGTTTGGGAAGGGTTCCAGTGGCCTGATGGTAAAAAAAAACATGAATCGATGAAGATAACCCAGGCGTAATATATGAACGCTAATAAATCAAGCGCTGCATAAATGAAATAGTTATCTGAATGATATATTTATTTATTTAATTATTCAATAAATACAGTTAGATTGATTTATTAGTTGATTGATTGATTGAAAGAAAGAAATTTTCGAGATAGAAGAATGAAGTTGCCATTTTTTTGATTGCAGTTTTTGGTGGTGAACCTTCATTCCTCCATCTACCTAATTACCTTTCTTTCAATCAGGCATCAATAATAATAATAATAATAACAACAACAATTATAACAAAATTATAATTATTACTGTTCATCATACGTTGGGCTTATGTATTTAATCTGATTCATCTCCACTGAATAAAAGTCTTCAGCTCTTTTACTTTTAAACGCCCGTGTTACGATACTACCTATATGTAATTAAATAAATATATATATTTAAATATAATATATACATATAAATATAAATTTAATATATATAATAGCCACTAAAACCGACTAAAACAACTTTGAAATCTTTAATCTTTCCCTTGACGTATCATAACAACATAAACAATAACAATAATAGATGTCAATAAACAAATCGAGACCTCAGATTTAAGATAAGAGCCAGGCCAGCCAATCAAATTAAGGATATTACCATAACTTCTAACCAATCAAAATCGTCGAACCGCTTTGCCCGAGTACCAGCCGACCAATCAAAACCGACCATTCAAATTAGTAGCATTGACATCTATTCCAACCAATAAAAGTTTTCAAACCAATATCTACCCCTGTTATGACTGACCAATGAGATGACAGGACTTGCATACACTCTCATCCTATTGGCCGTAAAATTTAACTGGGCATTTGCGAATAACAGGTGCTACAATTGTGGTAGTAGAAGTGAACCTTGCCCAGGTTAATTATAATATAATAATAATAATAGTTAACATAATTATTATAATTATAATAATTATAATAGTTATAATAAATATTATAATTTAATTAGCTCTTCTGAAAGATTTTCCATTCGCTAACATCAGCTCTTGTATTGGCGCACTCTGTGCTCTGAGTAAAGAAATGGCGGAAGGAAGATCAAGTAGTTATGATGATGATGATGATTATGAGATGATGATGATGATTATGATTATGAGATGATGATGATGATTACGGTGATAATGATGATGGTGATGAATATTGTGACGATTATGATGATGACGACAATAAGTATGACCTTAATGGCAATAAAAAGAAATAATTCGAAACAGTAATGGTTCTGAGAATCAATCTATCAATATTTTTAACTAACACACACACGCACGTTTCAAAATACATACGCACGCACACACACACACATACGCGCCACACACACACACCACACACACACATTCACGCCACACACACACACACGCCACACACACACGCACACGCAGCCTCAACAACCTCAAAAGCCATACCAGAGTACCCCATACTGAAGAACCCCAAATACAAAGCATGGTGCGTACAAAATCCAAGTAAGCCCTACATATGGCCGGCAAAATTTATTGGGTCTGTCTGTTTTTGCTCAGGGGATTTTTGCAACACAGCGGGTACATCCCTATTCCGACGGAAACGGTCGAAAACGGGTGACGGGTACGAATTAGGAATAGAGAATTTATATTTTTCAGAGGGATTATGGATTCTGGGAAGTGTCATTCGGCAAAAGTGGTGGTTTTCACAACAAAAATGGTGGTTTTCACAACAAAAATGGTGGTTTTCACAACAAAAATGGCGGCTCTCACAAAAAGAATGGCGGTTCTCACAACAAAAATGGTGGTTTTCACAACAGAAATGGCGATTTTTTCGAGAAAGATCACTCTCACAGCAGCAAGAATTGTGTTCATCTCAGCAAACGTGCCTATCTGATTGTGATTACGGTACCACAATTCGCCATAAAGATACTACTACTACTACTTCTACTACTACTACTACTACCAATAATAATAATAATAGTAAAAATAATAATAATAATAATAATAATTGCCATAAACACCGTCATATTTGTCATCATCATTATACCTCCTTCCATAAAAGCAGACATCGTCACCTCATTCTATTTAAACCAAATTTTTTTAACTTACAAAAAAAAAATCAACATAGCTTTCATCATCATCACCATCATCATTATCATTACCATCATCATCACCATTATCACTTTTCCATCAATAATCATCATCATCATCCTTCCGGTCATCATCGTCATCGTCAAAATTTTGTTAACAAACATCCTCATCATCATATTTGCAAGAATATTTATCATTTTGCCGCAATTCTAAACCACCATCATCGTCATCATCATCATTACTTCTATCATCATCACCATCATCTTCGTCATCACCACCACCATCATCATCACCATCACTATCATCATTATAATTATTATTATTTTTATTATTATAACAATTATACATGTTCAATAGATTCTAATTATAAAATCCAATGCATTAGATCGTCATTGTTAATTAATAACATCGACAATAAGAAAAATAATAATAGTAATTGTAGTAGTAGTAGCAGCTACAGCAGCAGCAGCAGCAATAGTAGTAGTAGTAGCAGTAATAGTAGTAATAATAATAATATTAATAATAATTATTATTACTGTTATAGTTATAATGTAAAGTATCGAAGATGTAGTACTAGGCAGAATTTAAGAAAAAGGACTTTTTACCATCTTTGTCATCATCATCGTCATCATCATCATCATCGTCATCATAATCATCATCATCGACAAAATCATTATCATCATTATTATCTTAGTCATCATAATCCTCATTATTATCATCATCGACAAAATCATTATCATCATCATCATTATCTTCGTCATCATCATTATCGTCATCGTAATTTTTATGGTGGTTCTTTTTGTGATCGTTTTTGGTCGTTCAATCGGCCTAATCATTACCATTTTGTTTTTCCTTTGAACTGTCTTAATCCTCATCATCATCATCGTCATCATCATCATCATCATCATCTTCATCATCATTACCCCTACTGTCCTTTCTGTCATTTTCGCTCTTGCTCCCTCCATCCTGTTTATTTATATCATCATCATCATCATCCCCATCATCATTATCATCATTATCATCAACAACAGCATCATAATCATCAACAACAACAACAGCAGCAACAACAACAACAACCGTACTACAAACAACGATCAAAGCAGTTTAAGAGTGACAACAATTTTCTTAAACTTCCCACGAACTCAATGAAAACAATTTCGTCAACCACAACTATTATGACGTCACCGACAACGTCATCTACAACAACATTAATAAAAACTCCAACAAAATTGTCAACAACAACAGCAGCAGAATATCTAGCCCATTTATCTTCATCGCACTGGACGAGCCAGCTACTAAAATCAACAACAACGGAAACAATTTCTTCAACATCATCTGCAACACCAACATCATCTGCAACAACAACAACATCATCATCATCATCATCTTCAACGACAACAATATCATCATCATCATCTGCAACAACAACGTCAGCAACAACACCAACAAACTTTCTCGCTCTTCAGACAACAACCCAACAGGCAATATACTTAATACTAAAACTACTACTCTTACTCTCCTTAAAATTATCCCAAAATTTTTGGACCGAAATGGCGAACGTTCTGACGTCATGGGCGGATTTTTTGGCGGCCATTTTAGCGGCAAAATTATTAATTTCTATTCTGACGAGAACCAAATATTTTTCATTTATCATCTGTTACGATGTCACTTAGAATTGCTATTATTGTTTTTATTGTTATTGTTGTTATTGTTATTAGTGCTATTTTGTTATTTTCATTATTAATCTAATTGATTTTAATAGTAGTAGTAATAGTAGTAGGTAGTAGTAGTAGTAGTAGTAGGTAGTAGTAGTAGTAGTAGTAGTAGTAGTAGTAGTAGTAGTAGTAGTAGTAGTAGTATAGAGGTAGGTAGTAGTAGTAGTATAAATGTTATTGTTATTATTATTATTATTGTTGTTGTTGTTGTTGTTATTTGCTTTTTAAAAGCATCGTTAGTTTCGAACGTTCAAAAATTAATTATGGCTACACTGAAACAAAGACAATTAATATGATAGAACAATTATTTTTTTATTATACCAAAATTATGAATAATAATAACAAACTTGTTGTACACTTTACTACAAAAACAGACACGTATACACATACACAAACACACACATATACTCACACACACATACATATAAATAGATAAATAAATAAATATATTTATATATATATATATATATATATATATACACTAAGTTATTTTATAACAACGTAGAAAAAATTAATTTTGAAATTATAAAAATAATTAATTCAATAATAATAATTTTAATAATAATAATAATAATAATAATAACACAAATTACAAATAATAATAATTATATGATACTATTATTATAATATATTTTTAAAAATACTGCGAATATCATTAACCAGAAGTTAAAAGTTAATTAATTTGGTTGTCGATACTTCGAAGGATAAATCAATGCGGGCTTAATTGAATAAAAATTATTTTTACAAGAAGTTATTTAATTAAAATTGTATGCATGTACTTGTATGTTTGTGTGTATGTGTGTGTGTGTGTGTGTGTGTGTGTGTGTTCGTATGTTAGTGTGTATGTACATGTATGTTTATGTGTATATGTGTGTATGTATGTATGTATGTATGTATGTATGTATGTATGTATGTATGTATGTATGTATGTATGTATGTATGTATGTATGTATGTATGTATATGTATGTATGTTTTTTGTATGTATTTTTTCTTAAATTTTTTTGAAAGTTTGATTACAGCAATCGAGAAAAATGTATATATAAAGAGATGAAACTCGCTCTTGGCATTGGAAACTTTATGTTTTCAAATAAACCTTAATTATTTATATAATAATTATTAATACTATTAATATAATTATTAATATTAATTAATAATTATATATAATAATTTATCAAATTAACTAATTAATTAATTATATAATAGAAGAACTTCTTCATAACGTTAAAATATCTAATCTAAAGGAAGTCTGCTGATACAGAAATACAGAGGTTGGTCAAGTAATTTTTATTTCACTGTAGTAATAATAACAATTGTAATAATAATAATAATAATAATAATAATAATAATAATAATAATAATGTTTATTATTATCATTGTAAAATTATAGATATGAGGTTTTTGTTCATCTCGACGGCATTCATGCTGGCAAGTAAGTCTTCGTATAGAATTGATCATATTTTATTTTCCTCATCTTCATCATCTTAACTGTCGTCATCATCTTCTTCATCACCACCACCACCACTACTTTTAGTGGCCGATGTGGCAGACGGTGGTGTCCACAATATCGGCTGGAGTGCCTGGAACGATTGGTCAGCTTGCGATAAAACGTGTGGTGTGGCTATCTCACATAGGACTAGAGAGTGTCTTGATCGGTTAACAATAGCCCAATATTTGTTAAAGTTTTTGGAAGAGTAAAATTACTACTAATTCTACTAATACTACTACTACTACTGCTGCTGCTGCTGCTGCTACTACTACTGGCACAGCCACATATGCTGCTGCTAGCGTTACAGCTTATATTGTACTGGCATCGAAGTTTATAGTTCAAATTTTTTGAAAACGAGAAATTGTGAAAGCACATAATATAAATATTTTATGTAACTTCTACTACTAATACTCCTACTAATGCTGCTACTTCTGCTACTACTGCTGCTGCTGCTACTGCTACTACTTTTATATTAAATAAACACACACACACACACGCACACACACAATAACAAAACAACAGCTCAGATCCGGAATTCAATTGCGTTGGTAAGAATCGGATCATAAGGAAGTGTGACTTGATCCCTTGCTCCGGTGGGGGCGGACCACCCTCTAGTAAGCATTTTTAGTAGTAGAAGTAGTGGAAGCAGCAGCAGCAACAGTAGTAGCAGTAGTTGTAGTAGTAGCAGCAGTAGTAGTACACACACACACACACACACACATATCAGTAACAGAACCAACTTGGGGTGATTGGTCAGAATGGTCAACGGCCACAGTGACTTGTTCGTCAGACGGCAGACCCGCCTACGTATCCCGGTCTAGGGATTGCCTGGATTTAGGGGACGCTGATGCCCCATCGTGCGAAGGAAATGTCGTCGAGAATAAGCCTATCCCTCTTCCTATTTGTTGTTGGGTTTTTTCTATCTTTTAATTCTTTTTCATTCGTTAAAATACATCTATTATATAATTCGTCATTGTTTTACAAAAATCAGTAACTCAATTTTAAAGTTATCGTCGATCGACTCATATAAATAACGACAATCTAACAACTCGGAATTTATTTTGCAAAAAGATTTCAATCCAAATTTTCCGCCACCACTCTGCTAGGTATCAACGGAACGTGGGGTTCTTGGTCTCGCTGGTCCACCGCGGGGGTCACTTGCCTTGCATCGTCAGGGGACCCGCCAGTTTACGTTACACGCACAAGGGTCTGCGACAGCCCTCCACCCTCCGGCTCTGGTTTTCCGTGTCCTGGAAGTAACAGTGAAAGCAAGCCCGCTGAGTTGCCCTTGTGTGGTTGGTTTTTTTTCGGGGTTTTTGTTGCTTACTTGTAGTGGTAATTTTTTTTGTTTGCTTGTTTAATCTGCGGTTATATTAGTTTGTTTTTATTGTCTTATTTTTCTAACAAAAATTATTAACTAAATCGTTATAACTCCCATTCAAGAAATTTAATTTCGTTAGATTTGTTTTGGGTAACTAACCATAAAGTAATGAATATTTCTCTGCCGATAAACAAACAAAACACACGTACACACACACACACACGCACACACTCAAACAAACACACAGATACAAACAGATACAAACATACACACACAAACACAAACACACATATATAAACACATACAAACACACACACACGTGTGAAGGTGTAGACGGATCTTGGGGAGCTTGGACTCGCTGGTCATCCGTATCCATTACCTGCAATCAAAATGGCGATCCAGCTACCATCTACCGTAGTAGGGACTGCGACAATCCGGCCCCCTCTGGGAATGGCATGCCCTGTCCAGGAGACGCCATGGAGAGCAGGCAGTACCCTCTTCCGAAATGCCGTAAGTGGATGAGCGACAAGTTCAGAAATAATAATAAAATAAATAAAATAATAAATAATAATTAAAATTAAATTGAATTAAATTAAAATTAAATGCGAACGGAAAAGCGGTGAACGGCGTATGGAGCTCTTGGTCAAGATGGTCATCCACGGCCGTTAGTTGCACCCCAAACGGAGATTCGGTGACCGTATCTCGAATTAGATCGTGCGACAGTCCGGCACCATCGGCTGGCGGCATGCCCTGTACCGGTAGTAATACCGACACGAAACCGGTCGAAACTCCGGTTTGCCGTGAGTTCATTACATATAATTTGTTTCTCTTTTAGATGCATTTTTAAAAAAACAGTTCAAAGTTAACGCTAAGATTGAAAAGACATTCGAATGAAAAAATGTTATTCTCTGTTTTAATTGTTTAAATGATTTTTACATGACAATTTGAAGCCGTCAACGGTGGCTGGAGCGTGTGGACGCAGTGGTCGTCGGTGGCGATTACGTGCACGATGACAGGGAACCAGGAGACGGTCACACGGACCAGGCAATGCAACAATCCCACTCCCGTCGCTGACGGAATGCCATGTTCCGGAAGCAGCACGGACAGCAAACAAACTTCCCTGCCGAGATGTTGTACGTGTCTTTCATACACGATTATCTAATTATAAAATGTATGTACCACCAGCTGCGTAATAATAAAGAGAGCGCTATATAAATGTTATGTATATATACCACATATACAACTTAATACAGTCTGCATACAATGATATTCAACGCAGCTGTGGACGGGCAGTGGGGAGCATGGACAGCCTGGTCAACCCTTCCAATGACTTGCACGGTTACAGGCAATCCGGAATACGTAACAAGATCCAGGGCGTGCAACAATCCGGTTCCTGTGGGAGATGGCTTGTACTGCGTTGGCAATCCTAATGATAATAAATCAGTTACTCTCCCAAGATGTCGTAAGCGCGTATTATTAATTTCACATTTTGAATTTCAACATTTCAGTTTGTAGGTAATGTGAATGATAATGATGGATACTTTGATGAATTTGATGTGTTGACAGAAAGAATCTCATTCATTCGTTCGCTCATTCATTCATTCATTCACTAATTCACCACAGCGGTGAACGGCGGTTGGAGCCAGTGGTCGCAATGGTCACAGCCTTCGATGACGTGTAGCATGAGTGGCACTCCAGAGATTGTCAGCAGAACGAGACAGTGTAACAATCCAGCCCCGGTAGCTGATGGCCTGCCCTGCCAGGGGAGTGACACCGAGAGCAAATCCGTCCCCATGCCAAGATGTCGTTAGTGATTTGAATTTTATTTTGTAAACATTGCAACTTAAGTAATTAGGAAGTTGACGAAATTTTTTTTCATTATCACGAGAATTGAAATATAGTTCGCGATTGCTGTTGTTGAGTCCATTTCTTATATGACTTGAAATGACCATCTTCAATGAAAACAATTTTTGCCCCACTGACAGCTGTTAATGGGGGTTGGAGCCAGTGGTCTCAGTGGTCATCTCCCCCTGCCACGTGTACAACGACCGGAAATCAAGAGGCGGTCAGCCGGACGAGGCAGTGCAACAATCCCACTCCTGTAGCTAATGGCATGCCATGTTCCGGCAGTGATGTGGATAGCAAGATGGTTTCCCTACCAAGATGCTGTAAGATTGCAAATGAAAATTCTGTTTTGGAGTGAATTTAATTTTAATTAAATTACAAAATTTTATTTCGCGATAAATACAAAGTACTCGAATACAATTAGTGCAAATATTCTTTTTGAAGCGTTTAACGTGCCTTAGAATCTGAACGCTGCAAAAATAGAAATATTTACCATTACTCCATCCAAAATCGACCATATATTTTCATCAAATTGTGACTAATTGAAATTGTGAAATGAAGCGGTGAACGGTGGTTGGAGCCAGTGGTCGCACTGGTCACTACCTCCGATGACGTGTAGCATGAGTGGCACTCCAGAGATTGTCAGCAGAACGAGACAGTGTAACAATCCAGCCCCCGTAGCTGATGGCCTGCCCTGCCAGGGTAGTGACACCGAGAGCAAATCCGTCCCCATGCCTATATGTCGTTAGTGATTTTCAATACTTTCATTTGTTGTCAGCTAAATTGTGTTGCTATGCTATGCTTAATTTAGGTAATGTTTTTTGTGTCTACTTGCTGTTCACTGAATATTATTCATTTGGTATCTGTGTGTGGCTGCTCGGTAAAAATTGAGAATTATTTCTTCATTAAAATTTTAAATTTTTTCATTTTCATATAAACAAGAGCGTCCAGCCTTATGATTTAAATAACTAATTTTTCAGCCGTCAATGGTGGCTGGAGCGTGTGGACGCAGTGGTCGTCGGTGGCAATCACATGCACGATGACAGGGAACCAGGAGACAGTTACACGGACCAGACAATGCAACAATCCCACTCCCGTTGGAAATGGTCAGCCCTGCTTTGGCAGCAATACGGATAGCAAACAAACCTCTCTGCCTAGATGCGGTCAGCTTAAATTTGTTAAGATCCAAGTAAAAAATTACACCTGACCATTAATGTAGAGTGTGTGATATAAAATTTATGATAATTTTAATATTAATTATTAGCAACTAACAAAATGAGTCGTGAGAAGAAAAGTTAAATTTTCAAAATCTCGATTCACAGCCATCAACGGGGCTTGGAGCACTTGGTCAAAATGGTCGTCTGCGGCTGTTAGTTGCTCTCAAAATGACGAATCGATCTCGGTTTCTCGGATTCGATCCTGCGATAATCCGGCCCCATCCGCTGGCGGAGCACCTTGCTCCGGTAGCAATACCGATACGAAAACGGTAGATTTGCCAGTCTGCGGTTAGTGGTTTGAGATTGTCGGTATTGTCACAACAAGTTGAATAAGCAATTTATTAAAAAAAACTTGTGTAATTAATTTGTAGCGGTGAACGGCGGTTGGAGCCAGTGGTCGCAGTGGTCACTACCTTCGATGACGTGTAGCATGAGTGGCACTCCAGAGATGGTCAGCAGAACGAGGCAGTGTAACAATCCAGCTCCCGTAGCTGATGGCCTGCCCTGCCAGGGGAGTGACACTGAGAGCAAATCCGTCCCCATGCCAAGATGTCGTTAGTTGACGTTGTTGCTTTAGATGAAACTTGAAAATTTTAAATATGGCGAGATGGAGAACGACATCACTTGTAACAATATTTAAAAAGCAAAATTTAAAAATTTTAGCCTGATTAGTTTTTATAAACGAAAATTGTTTAAAGCCGTGAATGGAGGTTGGAGTATGTGGGGTCCGTGGTCTAGCCCTTCCATCACATGTAGCCTGGGTGCGAGCCAGGATCTGACGGTGACGAGATCGAGACTGTGTAACAATCCCATTCCGGTTGGAGATGGAATGTATTGCGTCGGCAGCGATACGGATTCGAAGACCGTTCACGTTGAGAGATGTGGTCAGTTGGCGCTCTTAATTTTTTAATTAATCAGGCTTTAACTGAACTGTAAACAAAACTAAGTTACTATATAAAAATCTTCGATGAATGAACTGAAAACTTAATATATAACATTTAAAAATTCCATACTGATGGCTGAATCAGTTGCCTAATTATTTTTCGTACGCACTCGCACTTACGTACCAAAGCGGTCAATGGAGCCTGGGGTTCTTGGTCTCGCTGGTCATCTCCGACTGTCACTTGCACTTCAAACGGAGAGTCGGTAATGGTAACTCGGACAAGAATGTGTGACAGCCCTGCTCCGCTCGGATCCGGATCGCCCTGTCCCGGTAGCAATACCGAGACGAAATCTGTCGAGACTCCTATCTGTGGTTAGTTAGTTGGTCACCTCTTGCACAGATTTCCATGAATCGTTAAAAGTTGAATAATTATTTAAGATACCTGTCTCTATTTTCAGCTGTAAATGGAGCCTGGAGCAGTTGGACGCTGTGGTCGCCAACGAGCGTCACGTGCACCGCGAGCGGCAGTCCAGTGTACGTGACGAGGTCAAGGATGTGCAACAATCCCACACCGGTCGGTGATGGAATACCGTGTATTGGTAGCGATACCGAGACGAAATCTGTTCCTATGAAGATGTGCCGTAAGTTGAGAGCAAATTTTATTTCATTTTTTTTTACATTTCTATAAGACTAAATAATATTTGAAGCGGTGAACGGTGGTTGGAGCCAGTGGTCGCAGTGGTCACTACCTTCGATGACATGTAGCATGAGTGGCACTCCAGAGATGGTCAGAAGAACGAGACAGTGTAACAATCCAGCCCCCGCAGCTGATGGCCTGCCCTGCCAGGGGAGTGACACCGAGACAAAGATGGTGCCAATGAAGATTTGTCGTTAGTTAGAATAGCTGATAAAGTTCTATCATAATCTATACATAGATGTCTTCAACCAACGTGTTAACAATGTTTTGTAAATTTAATTACGAATTTATTATTTCGGTTGTAGAGAAATGTCAAAAGTTAAACGGTTTTGCTACTAATAAACTATTTAAAACGTTTCATATCGATGACTGAATAATTATTTCGAGGACAGATTCTAAATATTTTTTTTTGAAATACTTCAAAATTAATAAAATTAATTCCAGCGGTGAATGGAGGTTGGAGTATGTGGGGTCCATGGTCCAGCCCTACCATCACATGTAGCATAGGTGGGAGCCAGGATTTGACGGTGATCAGGACCAGACTGTGTAACAATCCCACTCCCACTGGCGACGGCATGTATTGCGTCGGCAGTGATACGGATTCGAAGACTGTCTCCATCAAAATGTGTGGTATGTCAGTTACGCGATGTTTTTTTAATTAAATTTTTGAAATGCAGAACGAATAAAATGTGTTTCCAGCTTTTTCATATACATTTCTTACGTAACGATTTGCTTCTTTAAGAAATTTTCTTAAATCATTAGACAGTTTAACAATAATTTCGGCAGAGGTAAATTATTTTTTACTCGCTAAACGGATTTTGTTCGTGTTTATTTATAGTTTGAAAATTAACTTGAAACATTTTCTAATTCATTTATTTTTTCAATTTTATATTAAGTCATTCACTCATTCATTCACTAATCAATTAAATTCATTCACTAATTCACCATAGCCGTGAACGGCGGTTGGAGCCAGTGGTCGCAGTGGTCACTGCCTTCGATGACGTGTAGCATGAGTGGCACTCCAGAGATGGTCAGCAGAACGAGGCAGTGTAACAATCCAGCCCCCGCTGCTGATGGTCTGCCCTGCCAGGGGAGTGACACTGAGAGCAAATCTGTCTCTATGCCTATATGTCGTTAGTGAGATATGATAAGTTGAATATTTATTACGTAGTTTAATTATTTCAAGAGAAAATCAATTTAATAATCAAATGTGACGGTAAATTAATAAAAATTTATTTATATGCCATCTTTTTAAAAAAAATTTGAGTTGTTGGTTGAATTTAAAAAAAAAAATTTTTACACCCAACCTATTTTTACCATAAATTTAATGAACAGCCGTCAACGGTGGCTGGAGCGTGTGGACGCAGTGGTCGTCGGTGGCGATCACATGCACGATGACAGGGAACCAGGAGACAGTCATACGGACCAGACAATGCAACAATCCCACTCCTGTTGGAAATGGTCAGCCCTGCTTTGGCAGCAATACGGATAGCAAACAAACCTCCCTGCCTAGATGCGGTCAGTCAATAAACATTTTTACTAATTGTTCGTTCAATCTAAATTACCCTTGACAGTAAATTTTATTCATTTTGTGATTTATATTTAATAAGCTTTGATTTAAAAACTCAGCCAATTTGTGAAATAATGTAACTAACGCACATCGTTTCCTTGAAAGCCGTTAATGGGGGCTGGAGTCCCTGGTCGCGGTGGTCCTCCACAGCCGTTAGTTGCACCGGAAATGGAGAATCGGTATCCGTTTCTAGAATAAGAATGTGCGACAATCCGACACCATCCGGTAATGGACAGCCGTGCGTGGGAAGCAATACCGACACGAAACCGGTCGAAATGCAAGTTTGTGGTTAGTAGATTTCATCTCTTTCGCTAGACGTATCTGGTTTTTTATTACGAAAACAATTTCGTACGATGAACTGCAGCTGTTGATGGGGCGTGGAGCTCTTGGTCTCAGTGGTCCGCAGTCTCCATTAGTTGTACCATGACCGGAAAACCGGAGTATGTGAGCCGGACGAGGATGTGCAACAATCCGGCTCCTGTTGGCGATGGGCTGCCCTGCAATGGAGAGAGCGCCGAAACAAAATCCGTTGATGTACCGAAGTGCAGTTAGTTACGGTTCTGTCGGTAGTTTCGTTGTCTCGAATGAAATATCGTCAAATTAAACATTTTTATTGATTCGTTCATTTAATTATTATAATTAATAAAATATATTTCTTCCTATTTGAAAAATTCAAAAAGGTATAAACGGGGGCTGGAGTGAATGGTCGCAGTGGACCACAGCCTCAGCTACTTGCAGCAGCAACGGACAACCGGTATCGGTATCTCGAGTCAGGAAATGTAACAATCCGGTACCGGTTGGTTTCGGTTCTATGTGCCCTGGTATGAGGAAGGAAGTTAAATACGTTCACGTCCCGGACTGCAGTAAGTCATGCAGTCCTTAACATGTCGACAGTTGCATTTAAAATAATAATAAAAATAATAACAATAATAATAATAATAACAATAACTTTTTAAAAATACTTAAGGTGTAGATGGCGCTTGGAGCAGTTGGTCCCCGTGGTCAGCTCCATCGGTTAGTTGTAACCCAGGGGGAAATCCGGTATACGTTTCCCGGTCCAGACTGTGCAACAATCCGGTTCCGGTCGGTTCGGGACTGCCGTGCTACGGTAACAGCACCGATTCGAAGATGGTGTATTTACCGATGTGCAGTAAGTTAACAACGAAAACATATATATTAATATTATAATAATATTAATAATAATTATTATTATTATAAATATTATTATTATTATTTTAACTATTAAAAATGTTCTGATGTTAATTCAAGCAAATACATGAATGAGATATAATGTTTTGTAAAAACACAATCATGAATGACAGATTTTTATGAAAAAAAATCCCTAATTTTCCACAGGTGTGAACGGATCTTGGAGCAGCTGGGGAAGGTGGTCATCTACGGCCGTTAGTTGTACCGACACGGATAGCCCGGTGTACGTTTCGAGAGTCCGGAATTGCGATAATCCGGCGCCAAGCGGTGACGACGGCTGGGATTGTCTCGGAAGTAGATCGGAATCGAAACCAGTTACTCTGCCAATATGCGGTAGATATGATCTTTGTTGTTACTGCTGTTGCTTAGTTCAAATGAATTGTTTTATCAACATCGTTTTCTCTCTCTCTCTCTCTCTCTCTTCAACTTTTTCTGGTGGATCACTTTTCTAACTTGTATCAACCACTCACTTCTCCCTCATTTTTTTCATTATTATCTTTCTCGCAAACAGCCATAGACGGATCTTGGGGCCAGTGGGGACCCTGGACGGAAGTCCCGCGCACTCCCACTAGCGATCCGAAATTGGACAACTTTTCGAGAACCAGGAAATGTGATAGCCCCCCTCCATCTAATGGGGGCATGGATTGTGTTGGGCCCTCTGTGGATTACAAATCTGTCGCCTGTACTAAGTGTAGTAAGTATTTTTCTGTTTGTGTTTGTTTGTTTGTGTGTGTATGTGTATGTATTTGTTTGTGTATGTGTGTGCATGTGGTTTCGTGGGATTGATGTTACTCTTGTTTTTTTTTTATTTTCTTCTCCAATCATTTTTTTTCTGTCTTGCAATCATATCACAAAACTTTTCGTAAAATTTGGCCCTTTTTATCCAACCTCCCCCCTATTTTACCCCCTCTAGGTAAATGGACAGACTGGACACCCTGGGGCACCTGCGGGGCTGAAAGACCTGACATTACCACCCGCCATCGTCAGTGCCTGCCCATCAAAGGTCAATGTCTGGGTCATTACAAAGAGGGCAAAAGTTGTCGATCTACTACTACTTCTACTACTAAAACGCCAATGATTCAGTATGGAAAGAAGCGCTGATGGATTATTCCGAAAATGACGTCATCAATAATGATAATAATAATAATAATTATGACGTCATAATTAATGACATTTAATATTATTATGGCTGTTATTAATAATAAATTTGGATGTGCATAGAGTTGAAGGTGTGGCTGGTTGGTTGGTTGGATAAATAGATGGATAGATTGATAGATAGATGAATGGATGTTGACGAATGAATGAGTGAATGGATAAAAGAATGAACAAATGGATGGATACGTTGATGGACAGATGAATGGATGGTTAGAAAAATATAAATGGATGAAAGAATGAATGAAAGAATAGTTAGAATCGTAACGTTATCAAATCGATAATAAACTATTCGCTAAAAAAACCGACTTTTGTTGTTCATTAAACGAAAGAATAAATAAATAAAAAGATAGATGTATAGACGGATGGATGGATGGATGGATAGACAGATAGATAGATGAAAAAATGAATGAATGAGATGGATGAATTAAGAGAAACATGATTAAGTGAGTAACGAAATGAAGAAATAAAATATTGTTTAAAATATTATTTACGCGTTTTCTTCATCACTACAGCAAAGAAGCCAAAAAAATACCAAACTCTGAATCGAGTAGCTTAATTATAAGCAAAACAAAAATATTTAAAATAATAAAAACTATCTACTACTTCTGACTACCGGCATAATTTACCGTTTCAGCTTAAAAATTGAACTATAGTTTGCTTCGAGAACCACCACAAACACAACGATAATAATAATAAATAATAATAATTAAAACTTTTATTTGGCTTTTGTAACCAAGGATGGCTTGCGATGTAAACAAGAAGCCATGTTGGTGTTGCTTTGGTAGCAATGTAAATAATCGATGGATCGATGGATGGAAAATAAATGAATGAAATGAAATGCATAGATGAATGAATGAACGAATGAAGGAAGGAAGGAAAAAATGAAGGAATGAAAGAATAGATAAATGAAAAGGTGGATAAATGAATAGGTAGAAAATGAATGAATGGAGTGCATGGATAGATGAATGAATGAATATGAATGAATGAAAGATGATATATATATGTGTATATATAATATATATATATATATATATATATATATATATATATATATATATATATATATATGTATATATATATACAAACATTTAATATATATATAGAGAGAGGAAAAAAAAGAGAAAGAGAGAGAGAGAGAAAGAAAGAGAGAGAGAGAGAGAAAATGCGAAAAGAAAAAATTGTAAAAACAAATAAGTATACCCCGACAAATTTCCCTCATAGGTTTTTATTGGCAGCTATTTGACAAACAATCGCTGATGATTTTAGAATGACTAATTATTTTAGCACGTAATTTTTTGGAGTTATATTTATTGGACTGCTATTACTACTGTTACTGCTACTACTGCTGCTACTACAAACACTGCTACTGCCGCTACTACTACTGCTACTACTACTGCATACTACAACTAGTTTTAAAACGTTAATGCTAGTTTACATTATAGCATCTAAAATTTGTTCTACTTAACCAATAACATTAATAGAATGCATCAGCGTCGTTTTCAACGCCAATATTAAAAACAAAAATTAAAGAGTTATTTGTCGAAAATCAACTACTATTACTACTACAACAACTATTATTACTACAATTACTACTAATACTACTGCGACTACAACATCTACTACTGCTACTTCCAAACAACAACAACAACAACAACGTCAAAATGTCAATAAACCCAATAACCACCCAACCAATGTATTTTAACCAGCAACAGCAGCAGCAACAGCAGCAGCAACAGCAGCAGCAACAGCAGCAGCAGCAGCAACAACAACAATATTTTACGATAAATAATAATGGTCACCATGAGCATAACAGAAAAGGACAACCTCAAAACATCAGAGATTGGAGCACCGGCCTATGCGCATGTTGTGAAGATGTTAACGGATGTGAGTTTTTTGATGTTGTCGTTGGATGTTGTTGATGATGTTGTTGATGATGTTGTTGTTGATGTTGTTGTTGATGTTGTTGTTGATGTTGTTGATGATGTTGTTGTTGATGTTGTTGTTGATGTTGTTGTTGACGTTGTTGCTGTTGGTGGTGCTTTCGGTTGTCGTTAATGTTGTAAAAAAAACGATTGGAACATTGGTGAAAAACAACAGCCTAAACCAAACGCTAGCGATCAGCAGTCACGCCATCTCATTAGAAACATATCACCAAAAGGATAACACCCCGACAACAGACCAAAGTATCACCATGACCTTTAACCTTTAAACTTTAACATCAAAGGTCTTTACTGCTTCTTCTGCTACCCGTGCTTCTTGTGCTCAGTAGCGGCTAAAACCGACGAATGTTGCTTGGGGCCGATTTGCTGCTACCCATGGTTCCTCTACAGCCTGAGAACCAAAGTGAGGGCACAGCACGGAATTAAGGTCAGGGTCGTATGCTAATTTTTGAATTTTTATTACTATCTTAAAAAATGATAATCTTGGTGATGTCATATTAATATATTTTTCTTCGCCATCCTCATTTCTCCTCGACTGATTTCCGCCTGTTTTGACGGATAATCTTTGACAATTCATAAATTTTCTGACGTCATTTGTGAATAAATTAATAAATTATTATAACATAACAGGGCAGCGTATGCAAGGACTGCGTGTGCATGACATTTTGTGAGAAATGTGCCGCCCACCAACTCTACAGGGAGCTGAAGAACGTCGATAAGTGATCGGAAGATCGACTGAAGGACGGTCTCATTAGCATAATTTATGTTAATTTATGCTAATATACACACATATATAGTAATCACTTTGTACCTTTTTATAAATTCCTCATCTGAAAAAAAAAACTAAACGTCGTTTTATACCAAAGATTTATTAAAATTTACCATTTCAGGTAGCTAAATCGATCTAAATTAGCATTATTATTAGATTATTGAGAATTTTTATAGAGGGTGGCAGTCCCAAACCCTCCCCTGTCTGGTTAGACCCACGTTTATATGCATTTTATATATCTTTTTATATTTATAATCCTTAACTTGAATTAGAGCTATTTTTGCCATTTTAATGTGTTATATGCATTTATATTCTTGCTTACAAATGATGTGATATTAATAATATGATCAGACCATAATATTTTAGATTACATATATGCGTATGTATGTATGTATGTATGCATATAAGTGTTGAGTAATCGAAAGCCTTACGTGACACAAGCTCGCCTGTTAGCTATTTTAACTTGCATTCCTTTTTCTCCCAACATAACCACTTCCAGTAAAATGCTTGTTTGGCTGTAGGTCCTATGTTCTTCATACAACTCGATCGTCTTTTACCTGCCAAACCCAAATTCTTTAAATAGCTGTACACTGAACAACCAACAACACCTCTTGCACCGACCTCAACTGTGTACAACAAACATCTTAACTCACGTTGCTTCATCTCACTAACAAGCTCTTCATACTTGGCTGTTTTCTAATCTCTGCTGCTATCAGAAATACTTCTTCAGTTGCAAACTTCATTTCTCGTGGTTTGATCCAAGTATGTATGTATGTATGTATGTATGTATGTATATATATATATATATATATGTGTGTGTGTGTGTGTGTGTGTGTGTGTGTGTGTGTGTGTGTGTGTGTGTGTGTGTGTGTGTGTGTGTGTGTGTGTGTAAGTATGAATGTGTGTAAGTATGTAAGTAAGTAAGTACGTATGTATCATTGTTATTATCGTCATTCTTAACATGTAATATTTTCTATTAAAAACTCCTCATTCATTTAGAAATCTGATTATCAAACTCTTGTCGCTCTTGAACTTTGTTTGATAAATATATACAACTAATAATAATAATAATAATCCTTTTATTTCCTAACTCCAAATACCAAATATTAATAATAAAATAATTATAAAATCCTATTTAATAATAACAATAGCAATAATAACCTTAATTATAATAATAATAATAATAATAATCGTGTACATAGTTATTATTGTTAGTATTTTTCACGTAAAATAACTCCAGAATAAACGACTAACACTTTATAAGAGTGATAAATAAATACGTCTATGTATTTATATTTTATTTTCTCTCAAGATTTTAAACAAAATATATTAAAATTAAATCAATTAAATTATTAATTGACTCGTTAATTGAGTTTAAATTGGATTGAATTTGAATGACGTAACTGATTGAGTTCTTGGCGGTTTTTTTTAAATTTCAATGACTAAATTGATTGATTAAAAATGGATTTAACTTTAATGACATCATCTATCTGCTGCAAATTATAACTATATTTGTGTATTGTTTAATTAATTAATTTGCAGTAAATTATTTCAGTAAAATAATTTAAAAAATGTCAACTAGTGGATCTTTTATAGAGTTGAACTTCAGCTCTCAAAAGCTGAATGACTTATTGCAGTTGGAGATTGTCGACGAACTTATATATAGGTCAGTTCAAATCTGTGTTTTATATAAATATATATATATATATATATATATATATATATAGGTCAGATGAAGCTCTTATATAGGTCATAGGTCATTTCATCATTTAAGTTCTACTTAGATTAAATCATATCATGTGTATCATCATGTTTTTGTATCACTCATCGTCAACAACTATAGAAAATATTTATCTGGATAACAATAACTATTCAAAATATAATAAAATTAATTATACGAATAATAATCACTATTATTACAACTATAATAAAATAAATTATATATAAATAATAATAATAACAGCTGTATAAATAATAACAAGGTCAACTTATACATGCAAGACACGGTCAGTTGGTATTTACGGGGGACAAATAATTAGCCAGGCGATGGCAGCCAGTGATCAGACCGTAGCAACTGACCGAATGATTCACAGCGTACATACATATTTCATTCTCAGTGGTATGTGTATGAGAGTGTGTGTGTGTGTTGTGTGTGTGAATGTGTGTGTGTGAATGTGTGTGTGTGAATGTGTGTGTGCGTGTGTGTGTTGGTGTGTTGGGTTAGGGTGGAAAAGAGAGAGAGAGAGAGATAAAGAGAAAGAGAGAGAAAGAGAGAGGAGATAGGAGAAAGAATAAACATCATACGCCATTTGGTAATACTCAAATTAGCACACGAAAACCACATCCCTAATTACACTAACTCTCTGAAATTAGGCGACAACCAGAAGCCAGTGGTTTACCACGTGGAGAAGGTTCGAGATGGCAGGTCCTTCACAACTCGCCTGGTCAAAGCCATTCAAAACGGACGACACATCTTTTCATGTATGTTGTCCTATCAGAAGCCTGAAGAGTTTGCTTATTTTCATCAAGTCTGTTGTGATGACCATGATAATAATAGTAATAATAATAATACTAATTATTATTATTATTATTGTTGTTGTAATTAGTAGTAGTAATAGTAATAATAATAATCGTCGTCGTCGTCATCATCACTCTCAAAGATTCCCATGCCAAAAGTTGCACCGCCTGAATCTTTGCCTTTGTACGAAGAAGTACTTAAGAAAACTCTCAAGTACGGTTGTATGCTTGTTTGTTTGTTTTAATCTCTCTTTCTCTCTCTCTCTCTCTTTCTCTCTTTTCTTCTTTCTCTAATTTACTCTCTCTCTCTCTCTCTGCTTTTCTTTTTTTGTAGAGATAACAGAGTGACCGACTTTCAGCGCGCATTCATATCCCAGTACATAACAGAGGAGTCATTGTACTTCGTGAAGCCAGTGGACGACAGCTGGATGAGTTTCTTCATGGAAGATATGGGCAGGAGTGGTGAGAGGAGTACCATGTACTGGATCAAGTTTAAGACGAAGATTGGTTGGTTGTCTGGTTAATTGAATGATTGACTGGTGGGTTGGCTGGCTGGTTGGTTGATCGGTTGGTTGGTTGGTTGGTTGGTTAGTTGGTTGGTTGGTTGGTTGGCTGGTTGGCTGGCTGGTTGGTTGATCGGTCAGTTAGTCGATTGATTGACGTTTGGTTTGTTGGTATTTTATTATTGTAAATTGCAAATTTTAAGTTCAAGTTAAGAAGTTATTTAATAATCTCTCTTTCTCTCGCTTTCTCTTTCTTTCTCTCTTTTTCTCTTTCTCTCTCTTTCTCACTCTCATACAGACACACACACAAACAGACCCAGAAAAACAGAACCTCCACCGCTGGTTAGCGGGCTACATATCCGACTCCTACCTACTGCAGACGGCCCTCATTAAGTTGCCCTGGGGTCAGTTTTACCCCACCATGATGTGTTCCCTAGACCATAGCCTTTGGTTCCATTGCGATTTTTTGATTGATGATTGGATGCTCTATGAAAGTCTCTGCCCCAGATACGGTCAGTGAGTGAATGAATGGATGAATGAATAAATGAATGAATGAATGAATGAATGAATGAATGAATGAATGAATGAATGAATGAATGAATGAATGAATGAATGAATGAATGAATGAATGAATGAATGAATGAATGAATGAATGAATGAATGAATGAATGAATGAATGAATGAATGAATGAATGAATGAATGAATGAATGAATGAATGAATGAATGAATGAATGAATGAATGAATGAATGAATGAATGAATGAATGAATGAATGAATGAATGAATGAATGAATGAATGAATGAATGAATGAATGAATGAATGAATGAATGAATGAATGAATGAATGAATGAATGAATGAATGAATGAATGAATGAATGAAGGAACAAACGAACGAACGAATGAATAAATGAATGAATGTGAGAATAATAGTTTGAATGAATAAACGAATGAGTAAAACTTTGAGCCACTATGTGAATGAAAAGGATTTAAGATTGTAGGAACATTCTTTTTTGCATTTCTACCATAAACTCAACAACAATAATAATAAAAATAATTATTTTTATTAAATATTATTGATATTATGTTATCAACATAATATCATTAATAATTATAATAATTTTATTTTATTCACAATTTTATTTCATCCTCCATAGAGGGCAATAGGGCTTTGATATATGGCCGCATGTGGAAGAAAGACGGTGCTTTGGCAGTATCCATGGTCCAGGAGGGGCTTCTAAGAGTCAATTCTATGCTCTGATTGACCGGATTGGGGGCTTCTAAGAGTCTATTCTATACTCTGATTGGCTGGATTGAAATTAGGGGTGGAGCTATTGAATTTTGATTGGTTTTGAGAGATTTATTTAAATTTTGATTGGTAGGCGTAAACTTTTGGAGGTATTTTAATGAGTGAGGTAAGTTTTTTAAAGCATTTTTGTACATTTTATTTTGTTCTCATCTTAAAATTGTTCATCCTTATTTTTTTTCTTATTTATCAAGAGCAAACGATTAGCTAAATCCAAGTCATTTGCTTACAATTTTTTCATCATTCATCCATTCATTCATCCATTTATCTATCCATTCATTAATTTATTCCTTCTTTCCTTCATTCATTCATTCATTCGTTCGTTCATTCATTCTGATGATGACGATGACGATGTTGTTGATATTGGCAACTTGCTCCCATTGAATTTCAACTTCAACGAACTTCCTTCCACTTCTGTTTAAAAAAGATAAATCAATATTTTCAACAATTAATCAATTATGAATGGATTATTTGTTTATTTAAAATGAATTAATGAACAAACATACGGACGAACGAACGAACAAATGAGCGTACGAATGAACGAACCAAAAATCGAATGGTGAAAACCAGACCAGCATACGATACGATGTTAAACATAACACACACCAAAACACTACAAACCATATCAACAAACAAACATACAGACAGACTGAATAAATACATGCAAACAAACAACACTAAACCAATCAAAACACTGAAATACAAAAGTCACAGTAAAATGCAATTTGTGAATTACGAATTGTGGATTGCGAATTGTGAATTGCGAATTGTGAATTGCGAATTGCGAATTGTGGATTGTGAATTGTAGATTTGCGGATTGTGGAAATATTTTACCCTGCCGAAAGACAAAAACAACCTATGTAATGGCTGAAGT